TTTTTTTTTTTTTTTTTTTTTTTTTTTTTTTTTTACAGTATCTTTGGAAGAATATGTTTTATGTTGATGTCCATTTTAATATATTTTTTAATGGTTTGTGTTTTTTGTGCCCTAAAAATCTTAGTCTCTTCCAGGCCCAGGAAAATGTCTCTCCTATGGGTTTTATTTTTCCAGAAGTTTATAGGCTTAGCTTTTATGTTTAGGTCTGGTTGTTTCTCTTGATCTGTTTTCTCCGAAAATTATTTCCTTAGGGGTTGATTCTTCTGTGTGAGTTAGCTGCCTGTCTGTGTTATTTTTCCTCGTGTGTTGGGTGGCTCTTGGTTGTGTGCCCATGTTGGTACTCAAATCCCTGTGCCTACTGGTGGAGGCCGATTCTGATTCCAGGCTTAATGGGGAAGAGGCGGTAAGTCTTGCTTGGTTGCAGGGGCTGCTAGCGTATGTTCGAAGGTCAGGGTGGGGGCTTTGATGGCTTTCTCGCATGCTTCTCTCATGTTCTCCCATGTTCCATGGGACAAAGAACAAGGTTGCTGGGCCCAAGCAAGGCACTGATGGGGCACTTGCTCCACTGGGTCCTGATTCCTCTCAGTGCTCTTGTCCGGGTGTCTTTCTTGCTCCTTGTTACATCTGCCTCTGGGTTTGTGAAGCCCCCAGCTCCTTCCTGCTTCTGGGGTGGCTCTCTTCTGCATATTCTGCATGTATTTTTCTCTCTTGGTTGGTTTGGTTCTTACTGCTTCATATTTTTAGGAATTCTTTAGTAATTCTGGTCTTTTGATGGTACTTCCGTTTTCCAGTGCTTTTGGATTTCTTCTTCTCTGTGATCTGTCATTTTTAAGGGAAGTAGGGAGAAAGGGGATGTGGATGTGGGTACTTTGCCAATTTGATTTGGTTTCTGTGACTAACCTTCTAGAAAACCTGGACTTGGGAATGCAACAGTGAGGTGGGGAACATTGGAAGAAGGGAGGGAAACTGAGAGAGGGGACAGAAGGACCAGGAAAGTTGTAGCAGAGAAGGGGCTTTACACCCCCCAGCGCTGAGCTAGGACTCCACTCTTGCCATCTTCATGGCTGCACTGGCCTGCGTGGCATCCTCCTCCTCAGGGCATCTGCCGGCTTGTGAGCAGCATGGGCTCCATGCTCAGGTTGGATTAAGAGCTAGAAGCCTCAGGCCTCACAGTGCCTTCCCCTGGCCCCTATGTCCTTCCCAAGGAAGTGTCAGCCTGGAGAGGGGTGGGTGGTGCTCCTACCCTGACAGGTGCCTTCTTAAGGGGAGAGCCTTTCTTCAGGTTGTCCAGGACTCACCTGGACAGCTGGGCTGTATAGATGAGCGACTGAACACTCATTCCTCATAATTTCCCTTAGTGCCCCTTAGGAGGAAACAGGAAATCTTATTTGGTTGTGGCCTCTGGACCACAGCTGTGGCCTTATCTATTCAGGTCGAGCCCCTGGTTATCATTTTATTGTCCACACCCCTGGTCAGGAGTCTAAGAGGGCTCCGTCTGGCCTGGTGTGAGCCATCCCTGCCCTAACTCTGGACAGGTCAGGACATTCTGACTCCCCAGTGGGGCTGTTTCCAGCCTGGTTGAACTTGGCAGAGATTTCCTTGGTTGGGGTCCCTCCTCCTGTTCTCTAAGCCCTGTCGGCCTGGCCCCAGGCCTGGTCTTTGACAAACCCGGGCTGTCTCCCCACTTCCTCCCCAGTCCCTGCCACCCCATTGCTCCCTGGCAGGGTCTCTGGGAAAGAAGTGTCATTAAGACTTGCCTGAAAGACTGAGTACGATGTTAGAAAATTTTAATTTTTTTCAGGTGTCGAGTTAGCCATGCTTCATTGTTATTATTTTGAAAGATGAATTAAAGATGTACAAAAGACAGTAAGAAATGTCTTCGTCACAACCCTTTTCCCCAGCCCCCAGATTCCCTTCAGAAACAGTCATTATTACTAGTTCCTTGAATATTTTTCCATCAAGATTTTATACAAGCACAACTGTGTATGTTTAGTCTTTCTCTTTACACAGGTGCACTCTATGAACGCTCTTTTGTATCTTTTTTCACTTAACTAGATGTTTAATTTTTTGGACTATATATTTTTGTGGTTCAGAATTCAAAACAAATCTCTCCTCATAACTTTGTTCTGTGCCTCCCAGTCCTCCCACCGCCCCCACCCCCACCCCCCCACAGCAAGGAATAATGTGTGCATATATGTGTATTTAGTCCGAGTCTGGCTAATCTTATTTTTTCTATTCTTTTACCCAAATAGAGGCATTCCACACCTATGTATCTTTCTACCTAGTAGTATAAATCCTGCAGGTGTCAGTGTGAAGATTCCCATTGCTCTTCTTTCGTGTCTCTCTTTCCTCTCACAACATTCCTCTGTCAGGATGTACCAGAACCTCACAGTCTGTTGAAAGGTAGAGGGAGGGTGTGGGCAGCGTTCCAGGTGAGCGGCTGGCATGAACCAAGGCAAAGTGGGCAGGAGGTGCTAGGAGGTACAGGCCCCGGGAGCACACGGAAGGCATGGGGGAGTAGTTGGATGGAAACCGTAGACCCGGGCTGTGTGTACAATGCCTTCGGGGGGTGGGGTGTGTTGAGGAGGGGTGAGTAACTTAGCAGCCAGAAAGATCAAGGTGGGCTGAAACCACACTGCTGACCCACCTGCTGTAGGACCTGCTGGGGTTGGGATGGTTCTGGTAGAGATGAACCTGCTCCCGTTTCTGGTGTGACCACGCCCCATCCAAGTGTCACGTGTATAGCAATAATGCACGGACAGACTGCCCCTGCAGACATGGAGCCTTCGACCATCTATCTCATGGTCAGCTTCTTTACTCTCATGACATGAAATTCATACATAATGTAACCCACCAACACACAGTTTTTAGAACATCAGTTTAATGTATTTAATGTCCTATTAACAAGGGAGACATAAAAGGAAAGTGTATATCCTAAAATGCATAGTATTTGGCATCTAAATGCTCAGGTATGACTGCATTAAAAAAGGCTCCCTCATAGATTTTCAGAATGTTCCCAGGTCAGCAGGCAGCACCATACCCCTTGAGAACCGTGGGACTGGGCCAGGCTGTGTATTGCCAGTGTGCTCACTTCTTTATATTTTTATTTCAGATAGGTGCAGTAGAGTTCATTTCCATTTGCCATATCGATGGCAAGTCTTAGATGGAGGCACGTGGAAGGATTTGCACAAAATGGACCTTATTGAAGAGGCATATAGCAATCCTGCAAGAAACGGGTATGAAATAGGTCACTTGTGTCTGCTTTGTGCCTGGGCCTTTGTGTGTGGTACGGGAAGTTTAGACACAGTAGGGTTTAGTTTTGATGGGCTTCATACACAGACGCACACACACAGAGTAAGGAGGCGGGAAGCTCCGTGCACGAAATTGGAAGTTGATGGTCATGCTGGTGGTTGGTGCCCTTGTTGCCCCATCTTCCTCTTTTTTCACGGAGGAGCTATGGTGAGAGAAGGGGTGGGTACGAAGTAAGTTCTGAATTATTTGATGCTGGGATTGATCATGTAAATATATCCTCATTGATTAGTCCAGAAAAGCAAGAGGCAATCATTTGTGAAATTTATAGCCTTTGCCTGTAAAGTCATACAGCTGAACTACTGTCTATTGTTCAGCCTTTTTTATTTTCCTAAGTATGTCCTAGTATTTTCACTTAGTCAGTTGAGAGTAAATGGGGAAGTCCTGGGTAGGCTTATTTTCAAATGCCTATCATATCTTGGATTAAACTTGCTAAAATGTGTTGCCAAGAAGAGAATTTGAGCCTGTTTTTTGAGTGGATAAAATAAATTTGTGCTTAGGGTGCAATTATGTGCAAATTGCTACTGGTAAAGCATGTGAAACAAATTATCCCCCTTCAGAAGATTAAGTGGCTCACATAACCAGCTCTTACCTACGTCCCCCCTTCTCTTTCTCTTCCTTTTTTTTTTTTTTTTTTGAGGCTTTTTAAGTTAAAATTTATACTTGGTGACATGCACAGATACTAAGTATATAGTTCAGTGAGTTTTGAGGAAGGTACGTACGCTTGCAGTAGCCAGCGCTCTGATCCAGCTGTAGATCGTTTTCATCACGCAGAAGGTCCCCTCCTGCCCGCTTCCAGTCAGTGCCCACCCTGTAAACCACCGCTGTTCCAACGTCTGTCAGCACAGATAGTCTCTCCTGTCCTTGAACCTCATCTGAATGGAGTTACTCTGGACTGTTGCCTGGAGGCTTCTCTCAGGGCTCTGTTCTTGACGCTCCTCCCGGGCCATGTGTGCGCAGGCTTCCTTGGGGTAGGTGTTCAGGGGTGCGCCTGCTGGGAGGTAGGCTGGTCCCTCCTCAGTTCTGCCAGGGGATGCCAGATTCTTTTCCACAGTGATTATACTGCACATTTGGTGTAGTCTGACGCCTGCACTTTTCTAGTCTTCGGTGTAAAATAAGGTCTCCATTTTCATATCCCTGAGTCCTGGTGAGGGAAAGTGTCTCTTCACATGTTCAGTGGCCATTTATGCTGCTTCTGCTGTGAAATGTCTGTGCTTGTAGTTTGTTTTGTTGGGGGGAAGGTTGTGTCCTTCGTTAGTTAGTTTTGGAAGTCTTCAAGTTTCTGAGTATTAAATGTGTGTTGAAAATAAATGAATTCCTGTCAGCTTATGACATCTGTTAATGAAGAGAAGTATTTATCCATCCTTTCCTTTATAGTTTTATACTTTTTTCTTTTCTTTTTTTTTGGAGGTTTTATACCTTTTGTGTCGTAAGAAATCCTTCCTTATCCTGAGACCATAAAATATGTGTCCTGAATTTTCTTTAAAAAATTTGAACATTTTAAGAACTGTATTAACCTCTCCTTGCGTGTGGTGAAGTGTAGGTCCAGTTTCATTCTTATGCAGATGAATTACCAGTTTTTCCAAAGACCACTTTTTAAAAATATATTTAAAACATTTAGAGTTTGGGATTGACATGTATACACTGTTATACTTAAGATAGATTACCAACAAGGACCTATTGTATAGCACAGGGAACTCTGCTCAATATTCTGTAATAACCTAAAGGGGAAAAGAATTTGAAAAAGAATAGATACGTGTATATGTATAATTGAATCACTTTGCTGTGCACCTGAAACTAAGACAACGTTGTTAATCAACTATACTCCAATATAAAATAAAAAATTTTAAAGAAGTAAGCCATTAAAAAAATAAAAATAAAATGTTAGGATAAAAAAAGTAAAAAAAAAAAAGTATTCAAAAAGTAAATCAAAAAAACAAACACACAAAAATCAAAATGAGGCAAATGAACCAAAATGTATATGGGATAAAGGATAAACCGCATAGAGAAGAAATATTCCAAGTGATTTGCTTAATATGTTGTAATTCGACTCTACATCTTTAGAAAGATATGTTCTTACGGACGAAAGAACAGCAAAAAAAAAAAGTCTTAAACTCTACTCAGCAAAAAAATAAAATTTAAAAATTGTGATAAAATACACATAACATATAATTTACCATCTTAACCATTTTTTTTTTTTTTTTTTCCTTCTTGCGTTATGCGGGCCTCTCACTGTTGTGGCCTCTCCCATTTGCGGAGCACAGGCTCCGGACGCGCAGGCCCAGCGGCCATGGCTCACGCGCCCAGCCGCTCCACGGCATGTGGGATCCTCCCGAAACGGGGCACAAACCCGCGTCTCCTGCATCGGCAGGCGGACTCTCAAGCACTGCGCCACCAGGGAAGCCCATCTTAACCATTTTTAAGTGTAAGGTTCAGTGGCATTAAACACATTCACATTGTAGTGCAGCCATCTCTACCATTCATTTCCAGAAGTCAGTCGATTTTTAAACCCGCCAAAACTGAGCCAGATTTGGCAAAATGTGAATACATTTTATAGCTTAATTTCAGACTTAGATGCTAAGTACTACTTTTGTAAGTAGGCCATCTTTTTTGCACCTGTTTTCAATGCTGTCTGTGTCAGGTATTGAGTTAGCAAATACACACCCGTCTGTTTCTGGCCTCTTCTGTGTGTCTCTGTGTCAGCATCACACTGTCCCATGTAGAAGAGCTTTACAGTACGTTTAGGCATGTGATAAGGCAAATCCCCACCTTATTTTTCCTCAAATTGTCTTGCCTCTTGGTCTTTTGCTACTCTTTAGCAATTTTAAAATCTGCCTGTTGGTTTTCACAAAAACACTGTTGTGATTTTTTTTAACTTGAAATTGCATTGTCTGTTATCAGTTTGGGGAGAACTGACATAATAATGATGCCAAGGCTTTCTATTCATATACGTGATAGCATCTCATTTAAACATTCTTTAATATTTTTCAGTAGTTCTCTAATTTTCTCCATTAAGGTCTTGTATATCTTTTGTTAGATTTTTTTTCTTTAGGGATTTATTAGCTTCTTCATTTCCTTTTCCAAAAAAAATTTCTCCAGTTTTTTTGAGAAATAATTGACATACACTGTAGAAGTTTAAGGTGTAGAACACGATGACTTGACACAAGCATATATTGCCAAGTGATTACTGCAGTAGGTTTAGTTAACATCCAGCACCTCATATAGTTACCCCTACCCATTTTTGTTCTTGTGAGGAGAATTTTTAATATTTATTTTCTTAGCAACTTTCAAATTACCATACAGCATCATTAACTATAGTTAATCATGTTGTGCATTACATTCCTAGTTACATTTTTTTGTTGTTGTATTTTCTCCCTGCTGATGTGTAGAAATGCAGTTGACTTTTCTATCTTATATCCTGCAACTTTACTAAAATATGTTAACTCAGAATCTACTGATAATTTATTAGAATTATCTGTATAGTTATCTATATGTTCTAGATATCTGTATAGAAATAAATGTCTGTGAATAGCAGTTTGTTCTTCCTTTTCAATTCTTACACATTTTATTTCTTTTTATTGTCTTATTATAGTGGCTAAGATCTCCTGTACCATGCTGAATAGACGTGGTGATAGCTGGAAGATTATTCTTTTCTTCTTTTTTTCCTACTTTTAAAAGGAGTAATTTAAAAATGTTTTTCCTTAAGCATGTGTAAATGTTTGGAACCTTTGGCATTGCTAATCAATTCTAGTTTTATTCCTAGTATGCCAGGAGTTTTTTTTTTTTTTAATTGTGTATGGAAATTGAAGTTTATTGAGTGCTATTTCTGTGTTAATTAAGAGCCAATGTTTTGTTCTCCTTTACTTGTTAACGCAGTGATTTGCATTAATTTTCTAATGTTAAGTCCATTGCATTCCCAGACTGAAGTCATACGTAGCCTGTGTACACATGCACATATGCACACGATGGTGAACTTTGTATTGCCAGTATTTGGTCTGAGATTTTTGTATTTACGTTTGAATAAGATTGGTCTATAATTGTTACATATTGTCTTTGCCTGTTTTTTTAAATTGAAGTATAGTTGATGTACAATATTATATAAGTTACAGGTGTACAGTATAAATGATGCCTGGTTTTTATATTATGAAATTCCTAGCCTCATAAAAATGAGATTGGGATGGATTCTTTTCCTATCCTGAAAATATCCTGTGAAATTAGAATTATTTTTTTCCTGAATGATCATGTTTCTAAAAATTTCTGGGCCTGATGTTTAATTCCTGAGAAGATTTTAAACTACTGACCCAATTTCTTACAGTTGTTTTAGGACCAGTCAGGTTTTCTGTTTTTCCTTGAGGCAGCTTGATAAGTTGATATTTTTTCTAGGAGTTTGTTCATTTTATTTATTTTCAAACTTACTGTCATAAAGTTACTTGTAATATCCCTTTTAGTGTCTATGCCATCTTTAATTTTGTCCCCTTTTACAGTTCTAATCTTTTTTCTCTCCCTCTCTGTTTTCTTGATCAATCTTGCAGAGATTTATTAATTTTACTAATATTTTTCTTTTTTAGAGGAACAAACTTTTCTCCTTTTTTGATCTCATAGATTAGATGACCCATGATTTATTTCTAAGTGTATTTTAAAATTAGTTTTTAAATTTAAATTCAGATGGATTGCATTGTGGTCAGGCTATATAATAGATTCTTCGAATTTTGTTGAGGCTTGCTTTATGGGTGTAATACATGGTTAGTTTTGGTAAAATTCTGTGTATGCAGAGTTGTGGTGTTAGATGAAGTGTGTTAATTGTGTGGTTCTAATCTTCTTTATCCTTATTGATTTCTTTGTCTGCTTCTTGTGTCAGTTACTCAGAAAGGTATGTTAACATTCACTATGAATTTGTCGGTTCTCCTTGTAATTCCATCAATTTTTA